GAAGCTGCCATCGGGTCACTGACAGATTGCTTTCTGAGAACAGTAGCTCTGAATCTGCAAGACCACTTCCAACCAGCCTTTCAGATAACGTCGCAATGGTCCATGATCCGTCGAGGACCACGTTGAGCTCGAACCGTGCACAAGGTTCCCATGGCAAATTCTTGTGATGTCCTTGGTGCAGAAAGCTATTATAAGTTCATTGATAGATGGGATGTGCTCTTTATTAAGTTGGGAGCAGTCGATTTGAGCTTACCAAAGTGTGATTAGTGCTGTTTGAAATGAGAGTGTCTCTTTTTTGGCCACCCCTGTAGTACCTAACCAACCAAAAATTCATGAATATGATTTAATGTAACTTTTTTGGATGTAAAGCGGCCACTTATCAAAGGCATCGTGCATACGAAGCGCCCAGTTCTAGCATCCTAGCGTCGGGAATTAGTACCAATCCTTCATGAGGAGAACGAGAACGGGAAAACTGTGTTTCTGTAGAGGATAGGAAGATGCTTCGTTCTAGATTTGCGCCGCCGAAATGTTATGAATTTGTGCTGTGTAATTTGTTTCCTGGGGGTGTTCTCGAAAAAAGCTCCAAGACGCCCTTCCCTGTGGTAACAACAACCCACCCTTTCACTGCATCCTAACCTATTGCGCTGAAACTTCAGGCTGAAGTCCGTCGGACCTTGAGATCCTTTTCACAATGCGTCCCACTTCACATGACCACGTACCTACGAGGTACACCACGTTTCATCCATGAGCCCCTTTGGCTTCGCCCAGGCGTATGTGAAGTGTCCACAAAGTCCTGTTTTATGTTTCTTCTGGAAGCCTGAGTTTCGTGCACGGAACTTTGTTCCGTCTTGAGTGATCACTCATGTGTAGTGCATGTGTGCATGGGAGAGGAAAGGTTTCCTTGCGCGATGCCTCCGAGGCGGTCAGTTGAGTTGGCCACAAGTGCAGCTAGATTGCCTAATCGAAAGCAAAAGTCTCTCTTATTCCGATATGAATCGGAAAAGAATCAGAATTTCCCCGCTGAGTAGCCAAACGCGATGCGGCGCACAAAGCAGACGAGTAGCCAATATTACAGGCACGATTTGAGAAAATTTTGGTCATATATTCACTGATTCAGGTACAAGGATGAGGTTCGTGGTGAAATGCCGCACGACGAAGGAACCACCTCAAGACAGACATCGGGATGGAGAGAGGGTGAGAAGCAAGATCTTTCAGCTCGGTAGCAATTTAGGATGCCCCAGCCTCAGTTCCATGCATTGACGACACTCAGCATCTTCTGCCTAGCCCAAGCAAGAACAGGTCTCACGTAAAAGCCACACGACATTTCTATCAGTCAATATCGACCATTTGCCTCTGTAGGTCATAGGTGACCGCGCGAAGCCGCGTCCACTTGCAGCACGAAATTTCGCGCCAAATGGAGGCAGGGGACCCCACCGATGTAGCGTGTTGCATGCAGCAAAAGCATCCAGGAGCTGGGCAAACCAAGGCCCGGCCGGAAGTGGGGGACGCGTGCCTGGCTTGGGGTTGCTGCATCCGGCCACAGAAAGCCATCGGCGCAAAGTTGCGCGAAGATGTCCTGCTCCGCTATAATTGCTAAGCGCACACCTCAGGAGGTTGAACGGTCGCATTCTCGACTTGTTCCGATTTCCTGTATGTTATGTTGGGATGGTGTTTCCGAGTCTGTTTCCAATTTCTTAATCGCCAATGAACATCGTACATGACGCCCTTCAAATCAATGCTGGCTTGGGGGCGCCTGATCAGGTGGAGAAGGTTCTATTTCCTCACAGACGCAAATGTGTACGATTTTTCCTGATTTTTTTTGTATTCCTAATTGCGCACTCATTAGCGTAGGTGTCATACTGCATAAACAGCAACAGATGGCATCCTCGGTGACGATTTTTCAACTGGCACTAAATGTATTACTGAGTTTGCAAGTGAGACATGCCCAGACGTTCAAAGGAGACTGCGTAGAGAGGATGAGAACGTGAGGTAATTTCTGAACGAACGGCTGTGGCACAGTCTAGAGCGCAATTTTTTCTCCGTGAATGAATTTTTTCTTCCTGTAGTGTTATGCTTGCCTTGTTGGTATGATATGAGTTCTTTATTGTTATTGAGCGATATGAAAACTCTATGTCTGCAATACTTTCATAAAGATTTGCCTTGAGGCCACGCTGCCGCTCGCTTTTTGCCACCATGTGTACCTGTCTAGCTATAATGTCGCATCAAATATGTTGATACTAAAGCTTCCTATCGTTCACCCCCCCCCCTCTTACTTAGCTGAAACAAATTACAAGAAGTTACGAGAAAGCTTATGGCTACATTGGTTTGGCACACCACTAGTAGACATATATTTCGGTCTCTAAATGTTTAAAGACCACCCCTTTATAAACTATCGGTTGCCTCACTGCTTAGCTTTGCTCACAGTTTCACTGCTTCGGACGGGAAGCATGTTTGAGCTTATAAATAAGTACGTGAAATTAAGAACTAACTGAGATAACAATCTGTGAGTTTCAGGAGCCTCGCAAGCCGGTATGACTGGCTTCGGTGCTTTCCGTAACAACACCGTTGCAATGCTCCAAGCCCAGGAACAGCGCTCGCAGGTAGATCACGCTGGAGTCTTCCGAACCCATAGAACACGCGACATCAAATTCTTTTTCAGGGTATGATCCCTTACCAAATGGGTGTGAACTTCCTCGAATCACAGGCTGGCAAAACCGGATTCGGAATGCCTAGACAAGTGAGTTGCTCAGACATGTTCTCGAAAGCCATTCATCAAAAAATAATAGAAAATTACAGGTATTCACCGCTTTCGTTGACGACACCCACGAGGATCTCCCTGCTGACATGGCCCGTAGACCGGAGGTTCCTTTCTGGACTGGACAAGACGAAGCTAGGCACGCCAATCAGGTACAATCAGCTTTCTTATGAGTATCCGCTCACTAGAGAAAATCCTGCAAGTTCTAATGCCCTGTATTTTCGTGATTTTAGTGCATAACAATGCACGAGGTACACATATGTATTATTTTTATTTTAAGAACCGTTTTTCCTATCTTCGAAATAAACTATATCTGTTTGGAACATACTCAGCAGCGAGCGGTAGCGAGGCGACCAACTATGTACTTGCCTAATAAGTCTACAATACGTCACAACGTGGATTTTTTCAGACCGGTATGGGTGCGTTCGGTACCCCTCGTGATGTGCGCGGAGAGTACGTTCGACGCATGTGGTGATCGTTGGCAGTCATCGTCGTCATCGTCATCGTCGTATCTATAAATGCCTAGCTACACTCAGAATACTATAGCTATCGTACCCCTGTGGACTTTGTTACATACATACCGTACCCTCGAGCATTCGAAATCCCCCGAAACAAAGAGACGAATAATTTCAGACAATAACATTCATGCCAGTGACGATACTTGCCTTCACGCATTTTCGCACCCGTATCTGTCTTTACCATATGTTTATATTCGAGAATTTAATAAATGTGCCAACTCGCATCGTGAAACAAGCAAGTTCAGTGATGAAATATCATCAGATCTTTGATAGAGTTCACAGTTTTAATTAAAGTAGTCCTGTCACATGTGGCGTGGTATGGACGAATGTGTAGAGCCTTCAATGCCAAAAATGAGCCCGCTTTTACCGGGCATTGCTCAGGATGCCAAGCGGGGTCAACCGTCACGCTGGACCAATTTCGGAAATTTAGGACCCCTTCCTTTAGCGAGTCTCGATGCGACCTCCCCTCCCTCTTAAACACTTATTTTGTACTGTACACTTGATATTTGTGTGTGTGTCGCGTTTGCATTGGCGCACAATCTTCCTCTCCGTCCAGCGCGGATAGACCGAGGCGGACTACTACTTTTCTGCAATGCTATCAAACTTCAATATTTTTCGAAACACTCAGTAGATTTGTAATCTGGGACTGTTAGTTTCAGAAGCCTACCACGTTTATGCAGTATCTCCAGAACTCTTTTAGTTATGGGGTAGAGAATTAAGAATTCACAGAAATGCGCACTTCTTCATTTGAAAGGTTGTAATTTTCTTCAAATAAGAAAGTGTGAGAAGTGGTAAGAAAATTTTGAAACTCTAGATTGTTTTCTTTCTAAAAAGTACTCAAACTTTTGTAAAGTTTCATTTCTTCGAAAATCGCCCCGTTGGACCATTTTTGTGCACGACCGGATTTTCTCGCTAACTTTATTAAGACCCAACCTTTTGCAGTTCTTGTCCCACCTGGAATTAAGTATAATAGAAGGTTGATGCCTTCTGGAGAATACTTGATCTGTTTCCAAAATTGATGGAGTCAAAAAATCGCCCCGTTGGACCGTTTTGGGAAATCGCGGACCGATTTTCGGCAGAGCGCTGGTTTTTTGGCTTTGAACTGTTATAACTTTCTTCAAATTCAACTTTTTGCAAATCTTTACCCTCTGAGAAAACTAGAAGGTTAGAGCTTCTAATGAATTCTTGGTCTTGTTTCCCAAAACGACCCGTTCGAAAAATCTTCCCGTTGGACCATTTTTTCATGAATTTTCGGAGCTACTCTCCTGAAAACACGAGTTTTCAACACTCAAACACTCACAGCTCTCTTCAAACTCAATTTTATGGGAATAATGATACCATGACATCGCACAAGCTTTGTGCTTCATAACAGATACTAAACTCTTTAAGAAGTTGGCGACAGGCGAATGTTTTTTCCCAAAGTTTTCTTGTAAGCCTTTAGCAGTTGTCTACCCAGATTAACCTTTTACTAACTTAGGTCAATTTGAAGACATTCTGTTCTCTTCAGAGAGCATATTTGTGTACGTGAACAGTCAAATATGACACTTCTGCAGTAGACTCTTCTGCTCTGAGGTGCGCCATGCACTCGTTTGTGGTTAATAGTTGGAGAAGCACTCGAAAGTTATGCCTCTCACCTACGTATTGCGACGTTGACCTTTGCGGAGAAGACCCCACTCCCTTTTCGGTCGGCCAAATACGCCCCCTCGTATCAACGGACAATTGATCCTGATGCCAAGACCGCGTTAAACCGCAGAGATGCAGGGGAACATCTCTGCTATTCTTTGTAGCACTTGAACGTGGACTGGAGTTGTTTACCTTGCATATCTCTCATTTCACGACACTAATTAAAAAACCCGACATTTTCTCAGTCATTTTCCTATTATCTTTTGGGTTTCAATGCTTTCCCACCTACACAGATGAATCGTGCCTCTCTTGCAAAGAAACAAAATAAAGGAAACAAGAAAAAAGGTGTTTCTGGAACGCGCTATGTAGTGTTTTCCCACCCAATAGTCAAACCAGGAAGGAGGCAATTTTGAATAATGCGGTTCCTTCACAGTAGATGAGCGCGTGATGGGCTGTCCGCGAAAAGGGCTAAATGGAAAGCATTCGGCGTCAATCAATTCTTTTGCAAGTATTCCGAGTGTGCCCCATAAACGGGTAAGAATATATTTATGGCATAGAAACCGTAGTTCAGAATGAAACACGATGAAAATAAGTATAAAATATGTAATAAATAAAATATGTACGAGAAGGAACGGAAAGCTTTTACAAAGAAGGAAAGCTGGTTTGGCCGAGTAGGAAAGGGAGCAAAGCATTCAAACAGTTGTGACTCTGTACGTGTGCGTTGCGCGTTGTGTCGCCCCAATGCAATTACTGTCTGTTTTTATATCTGGTGTTTTACTACTTATCCAGGATGGTATCTTCCAATTTATTTGAAAAGGTGGATAAATCTGGCTGAAAAACGACCATTCAAAAGCGAGAAAGTCTCCTTTGAACAGCAGCTTCAAGGCTGTGCGCCGAAATGTCAGCAGTCTCGTCGCTATGGAAACGCTACTGCGCCTCAACAACGGTGAACACAATTTTTGCTTTTTTCGTGGCTAATACTACTCTTATTGTTAGATGAGCAGTACGTGCTAATCGCTTCGATTCGACAAACTGCCTAACTGATCTCATTCTGTAGACACTGGGTGGCACTCACCTTATTACCTTGAAATAACTGCCAGATGTTTTGGCTACTTCAGTTTGCTTTGCTACATGTTTGAACTTCGTTCTAGAACAAGATTAGGCCATGCCCAGGATACTACTCAATTTTCAGTGAACAGAAATGTCCACAGAGGTACCAGCAGCTGCAGCGCCATCTGAAGAAGTTCCCCATTTCGATGGGCTCTTCAAAGCTCTTCGTCTGTATCGCAACAACCAGATTCAAGCATGTGAAGAAGAATGTACGAGACTTCTGAGGAAAAATCCGCTGGATCAAGTGAGATTTTGCGCTCTACAGCCCACGATGTGGTAACCCTACCCATTGCCTCAAACCATAGAAAAATACAGTTCACGTTCAGGCTGCCTGGGCGCTGAAACTTTCCTGCCTAACTGACCCCGTCTACGTAGATGAGTTGGAGAACGAGGAGCTTGGCATAGCTGAGACGTTTCTCGATCAGAATGTCATCGCACCGAATGCTCGTCCTGGCACTTCGTTTCAAAGACCGACAACAACTGCGAAAGGAATGAATCCGATAATGAGGTCTGTTTTCTTAAACAATGACGACAGTGTGATTGATATGAAAACCACAGAACCGTGTCACATTGCTTTATTAGCTTGATAAAGCATTTGTAGATTAGAGCATCTATTTTCTAATGAGAATTTCCTCAGCGGGAGTGCGCTGGGCACGTGTGAGTTCCTCAAAGCATGCGCGGTGTCGCGCTTCGAAACGCACTACATCCCATTCCCTAGCTGTTGATCTTTCTGTACATTTTGAGAGACCGGTGCATGGCGCGCAATGGAAGTTCTCCCAGCTAAGTGTTTAAAAATTCTATGTGCTGGCTAGTATGCAGAACAAATTGTCAATCATTACATTCAGACCGACATCGACTGCAGGACGACCACTTTCCGGTGTCGTGCGGCCCATCACATCGCTACGTCCGGGGACAATGGAGCAGGCGGTCCGCACCAGCCGAACAGCCCGTACAGCACGAGCTGTAAGCAGCAGTTCAGCAAGACAGCTCAGACTCGGCACTGTATGTATATTTCTAATTTGTTTTTTACAAGCCAGTTGGCGTGGTACGCTGTTGCGCGCACAACACTGTTCTGCGGCGATATGGAGTGGGGCGAGCGTAAATTCTCAAATCTGGCTCTATACCAGGGTCAAGCGTGCGTTGAGGAATCCTCGACACGTCACAGGGGGGGGGGTCGTATTGGCCCGCTGGGGGAAGAGATCGGGCCGATTGATGCAGTAGGATCATCGTCGGAGGACAAACATCGAGTCGATGCCAGGCCAGAGTATTTCCAATAACAATTGATTCCGCCCACACAAAATCTTCGTGATTAGAGGTGTCCGCTTAGCAATTCTTAGTTACTTCAGTGTTTTATCACCACACAAGTTAAAGAATCCGAAATTCGCACTTTCCAAGGGATATTTTATCTTTCAAGTGAGTCCTCGAATCTGAAGGGATGTGAAGCACACGGCGCATCCCAGAGTGGGCCCAGTTGGTTGCGCGCGCTTCAACTACGGCTCTCTGGAGAAAGAATCTCAATTCAGGAAAAATCAAGAGGATTCTGAAAGGGTTCATGTGAAATTACAGGGAGGAGTACACCATTCAACAAGAAACGCAGCCTTCAGCGTCAAATTCATAAGCATGTAACCTTTAAAGTTGAGACACGCTAAACAATTTTACACTTCTTCAAAAGAGAAAAGCAGCCGGATTTCGAATCTGGGGAAAAATCCTCAACGTGGCCATTTTTTTTAAATACTGGACGTATTTAGCAGTTTTAGTAACCTTTGAATAGAGCAAATCTTCTAGTTTATGATGACGTATTAACTTTTCAGATTGGATGAGTTTGAACGGAGTTATGGCTTTGGAAAGCGTAAAAACTCGCACTCATCACGAATTTTCCTCGTTAATTTTGCAAAAATCCTCAACGTGGCCATTTTTTAAATACTGGACGTATGAAGCTGCTTTAGCAACCGTTTGATAGAGAAAATCTTCTAGTTTTGTCTGACATATTAACTTTTCGAATTTGACGAAAATGAAGCAAGTTATGGCTTCGGAAAGTGTAAAAACTCGTGCTCGTCATGAATTTTCCTCGTTAATTGAACTAAATTTGCTATTTCAGGAGTCAAATGTTTGTGGCGTATAGAGTCTGTACGCCACAAACATTTGACTCCTGAGCTAGATTCTATGGGAAAGGAATGAATCTGATGATGAGGTTATCTCTCGCTCTCCATGCTATCTCTGGACT